TGTCGTGCTGAAAGTCTGGTGTAAGCGGCCCTGCGGGCACAGTGGTGGCACCGTGCCCCTCTGCAGTGCAAGGAGTGAAGGACTGGGCCCCGTCCATCTGCATCCAGAGCTCCTCCGAGAGGGTTTTTTTCCCTCAGTAGCGCAGCTACTGTGTCATGGCAGCACATGAAATAACACACTCGATGTCAACGCCGCGGTGCCAGCAACACCAGTCCGGGCATCAGCCAGGACGCCTACACATTTGCACTTCAAGGGGTTTTGCTGTGTTTTGTTTTGCACAATAGCAAAGCTGAACAAATATTGCTTCAACACCTCCTCCTGCACCAGTGTCTCCCGTTTCTTGAGGTGCAAGATTTGTGAGCTGGCACAGGCCACGGCTGACTCCGGCCTCACTTCAGCTCAGAAATATTTCAGCTGCAGCTCGTGCACAGGGAGGACGGGTGTCACGAGGTGTCACGGGCTGCACGAGGGCTTGGCTGCATGGGGCCAGCCCAGCCCACCTGGAGCTTGACCCCATGGGGGTGTTAGTTCGCTGGCGGCTGAGGTTGTCCCATTTATCTCCACAAATATGTCCCCAAACACCGTGGTGACCAGCTTCTTCCAAATGGCAAAGGAGGTTAATGGGAAAACAGTGCTGCTGGGGGAAGTGCTGCTGAGAGGGGTTTTAGCACAAGTGGCATCAATGCAGTGCCCCCCCCCACTGATGGCCCCCGTGCTAGGTGCTGCACAGACCTCGGCGGCAGGGTGGGATGGCCCCGAGTCTGTCTTTGTGTCACCATCCCCTGCCTCCTTTGGGAAGGGGGTTTAGTGGGACCTCGCAAACGAGCCCTCGGGCGACCTGCAGGGCTTCAGCACTTGCTCCAGAGGCTGCAAAGTCGCCCACGAACTCCGGCGGGACTTGAACAGGTATGGGAGATCTTCCCCATTTGCAGCAGCAGTGTGGCTCAAGACAAATGAAGAGATATAACCAAAGTAAAAAAAAAAAAAAAAAGAAAGAAAAAAAAAACATTTGAAAGAAACCAAGTAAGTTGAGACGGGGCAAATAGGTTCGGCTCGAGAAGAAAAAGTTGCCGCCTGAACTTCCTCCACATCAAATCCTGCACCTTTGTTTGGTTTCAAAACATTTTCATTTTGGAACTCGCCTCCTGCTTGTTTGCTTTTTCTGTAAAGGGTTAAATAACCTGAAAAACTAAACAGAACTGTTTGCTTTGGGCTGACTAAACTGATTCATTCAGCCCACAGTGTTCCCTTTTCCCCCTCCAGCCCCCCTTCAGATTTGTTGTTTTGCTTTAAAAAGAAAAAGAAATGGCTCATCCATTTTTGTTTTTTTCCCTCTCACCCTCCTGCCCTTTTCGGTTTGGCTACCAGGCTGAGAAATCCATTACCCACACAGATCTTGGGCCAGCCTAAGCCACATCTGACAGTAAAAGAAACCAGATTCTCCATGTCTTTTTGCCCCCGGCTTCCTTCTTGGGCTTTCCCACACGTCTAAAACTCCCACTGGGGGTCCATGGACGAGATGGATGTTGGAGAAGAACAGGACCCTACGCGAAGAGGCTGCACTTTCCCCTGCTCTCTCTCTCTAAGCATCCGGCTCTTGGGTTCAACATCAGTTTCCAGGCAGAGCTTCTCGTCTCGGCCACGTACCTGCACCGAACCGTCGGTAATTCCCGCTCCTTTTCCGATCATGAAACCCTACGAAGGACCAAGCAGCGGTGAGGCACCGTCAGTAAGAAATACCAAAGAAGCAGCGAAGATGGACTTAATATGAATCTTTAATGCGCAGAACAAGCTGTCGGGAGCCTTGCGAACGAAGGCTCTGCACGGAGCAGTTCTGTAAACTCGGAGTGTTAAAAAAACCCAGTGTGCCCACAATGTCCTTGCACCTGCCTGGCATTCATCTCTGGGGCCTCCACTTTCAGCACGGTGCCGCCGTGGAGCTCCTCCTCGTGTCTCCGGACCAGGTGGTACCTGAGCCCCCTGGCCCTGCTGCTCCTCGCCGGCGGCGTGCAGGGCTAGGCAGCGGGGAGCACACGCCTGGCCCAGCAGCCCCCCGC